ATGATGATGATGATGATGATGATGATGATGATGATGATGATGATGATGATGATAATGCTGTTTCGATTCGAGTTGTATGCAGTTTAAAGTAATGATCAATTAGTACGATAATGGTCTCAGTTCGAATTTAAAAAACCCCAAGACAGTCGCAACTTCGAAAAAAAATAGAAGGAGAAACACAGACAAAAGCAGACAGTTCAAGAACTGTAAATTACAGACAATATGTGTTGTCCAAGAACTTAAAATTGTCAATATCCTTCCGAAATCAAAGAGATGGCCAAAGATGTCCGATAGCTTTTCATACAACCACAGTTATAAAAACCCCAGATCAAATATGTACAAAGATTATTAAAACTTTAATCTTTCGATATGTTCCCTCTCTTCTTCCCGCCTCATCTAAAAAGGGCGACTTCTGCTTCGCAAAAACACTATAACGGAATTGTAAAATTTAAGATGCCTATAGATGAAAGAGACTGTTTTTGCTAGAAATCTGAACCGCAACTCAAATTGACACTGAACTGAAACTGAAACTGTAGATCAACAGAGCGGTTCACTATAATAATTAGATCTATTTTAATGTTATTGTGAGGAACTGTGCCCAGCATACTGTCAGATTTTTATATAGTTTTTTGTCATTAAGAATTTAAGAGAGTAACGTGTGTGTGTGTGTGTGTGTGTGTGTGTGTGTGTGTGTGAACACAATCGACTCACACAACGCGGATGCACGAGATTTTTTAGTTTTAGGCGATATCCCGTGATTTCGTGAGCACGGCCGGGCTCTGTAAACCTACATTTGCTAGCAAGCCGGATCTAAATCGAAAAAAAAGTTTCTGCGATGGAGATAAGTTGTTTGTGAGGTAAGGAGAGAGGGGTTGGGACGGGAGTAAGGGGGGAGGGGGGAGGGAGAGAGGATGTACGGCAGAAGAGGAAATATGTGAGCTGGATTTGAAACAAGACAAGGGGTTATTTGTTTTATTGTGAAGCCTAAGCCTCGAGGTCAGTCATTTTATGACTGTTTTGTCTGTTGTGAACGAGTTGTGCTCATATTGAACGCGTGTTCCGGACAACTGAGCCTCGTGTGTGTTTAGTGAGTGAAGCAGAGCATCGCAAGACATTTTTTTAAAAAGACATTTTTTTCTTCGTTCGTGATTTGTTTTCTTTAGTTAATTGCAATGGCACAGGAATAAAATCCGTTCATCTGGAAAGCATCCAGAATCTGAATTGTTCCAGCCTTGTGAAAGGGATAATACAGGTAAGATCGGCAATGTAACCTAATATTCGATGCGCAGTTAGTTAATGTGCGTTGCAACAGCAGTGTGTTTAATATAGATCTAGAATCTAAATCTAGTATATTGGCATGCAGTTGCTCGCTTGTGGCTGTGGCTTAGCAATATTTTACCATAGGATACCCTGTGACAATGTATGCCTACCTGGAGATGGGGTGGTTGGGGGGTGGTTGGGAGGAGGA